CTGCTGTGAATACTGCCTGAGAGCCAGGTATAGAAACTCACTAGATTACCAATTATGAGACGCGAGTTCTAATTTGGCTCCTCCATGAATTTGCGTGCAACCCTGAACAAGCCAATTTCTGAGCCTTTGGTTCAGTTTCCTTTCTTCTACAGAATTAGGAACTAAGATGATCATTATGATAACTTTACCAATAAAATTACAAGTTTCTTCCCCTGTCTTTTATCCTAAGATCAAGTTCTGCCCATTTTTCCTATACAAAATCTTTTATATGTATTTTTATTTTCTATTTTCACTGTCATCATATGATTGAAGGTCTTTATGAACCAATTTCCTTACTCATCTTCCTTCCAGGATCTCCACACTCTGATTTATCCTACATACATCACGCATCTTGCATTCTTTTTCCTCTTCCACTCTTTTCTAAACCTAGAAGCAGACTTGAGTTAATCACAGTATTCTTTCCATGGCCATTGTCATTAGCTGTGAAAGACTGCTCTCATTTATTTATTTTTCCCTGTTCATTCACAATCCCTCTCTCATTCCATTCATTTTGTAGATTCATATTAAAATGTGATATATCTTTGATTATATATATATACCTGTGTGTGTGTGTGTGTGTGTGTGTGTGTGTGTGTGTGTGTGTATGGTAAAATATATATATTTGCATATATGTGTTTTTGTGCTATAGATCCTATCTCTTTTTACTTTTTAAATACAAACCTTGTTTTCCTTAATTATATCTATGTTGCTGTAATTACATCTTTAAATGTAAATACATGTTTCTAAACGATGCATAGTATTCATAGGATCCAATTAGCACATTTTACCTAACCATTTCCTTGGTGACAAACACCGAGGCTGCTGCAACAATCCCCTACTTCTAAAAATAGTCTTATTCCACAGAGACAATCACTAACTTGAGGTTAGGGTATATCATTCCTGGAAATGTTTTTATTTTATTCTTTTATAATATACACACACAACATATAGACATTTCATGTTTTTACTATATATGAGCATGTTGATATGGATATATACCTCTAAATATATATGGATATATAATTAAAAAATATATGCACAATCAATAACACAATTACTTAAAACACTTAAAATGTATATAAATTGTATCATACTTTAATCTTCTTTTGCACCTTGTTATTACAGTCCACATTACATTTTTGACATTGATAACTAGGTGTGAAGAAGTATCACATTATTTCAACATGCATTTTCCTGATTGCTATGACTTTTGAAATGTTTGTTCATATCCTTTGCTCAATGTCCTATGGATTTTTAGTTATTATGAATGATGCTCAGTTATGTATCCTCAACACTAACGTACTGTCAGTTATATGCATTGCAAATGTCTTCTCACAGACTGTGGGTTGTCTTTTCATTTGACTTATATTGATTTTTGAAACAGAAGTTTTATATTTTAACATAGTTAAATATCAATCTTTTTCTTTTTGGTTTGCATTTAAATTTTGATTAAGAAATGACTTCCTAGCAAAATGTAAAAAATATTTTTTTGACATTTTAAAACAAAATTTGTAAAGTTTTGCAGATTACATTTAGGTATTTAATCCATAAAACCCTATAAATATCTAAATGTGAAAAGCAAAATTTTAAAGACTTTTTCATAGATAACAACCATTCCTAACACAATTATTTCCCTATTTATTTATAATGCCACCTCTGCTATATATCAAACTTCTATACATGTGTTTTGTTCTGTTCTATTCTGCCAAATTCACATTCTTAAAAAAAAATTTAATTCTTTTATGGAATGGTCTTGGTAACTGACACTTTACTATTTCATATGTTAGGATTAATTTATCAAGTTTCTGTCACACATATACACATACACACAAACTATAAGGGTTTTAATACAAATTATACTGATGTTAATTTTAAAGATTTGGAAAGACATATTCTCAATCCAGAATTTAATCTATCCAAGTATAGCAGTTCCAAATTTTCCACTTAGTTGTTCTGTATACAGTGATACCTTGGTTTGGGAGCATAATTTGTTCCGGAAACAAACTACTTGTATTGCAAGACATCGCTCATTTACCAAGTTAAAATGTATTAGAAATGCTTGCTCGTCTTGCAGAACACTCGCAAATCACGTTACTTGCAATCCAAGGTATTACTGTATCTTCTATTTCTTTGCTAAGACTTCCCGTTTCTTTGTTGGGAATATCTATTTTTAAATTTCTTTCAAGCTTCTTCATAATTGCTCATTGATGCATTTTTATGTAGCTATTTAAAAATTTTGTCAAATAATTTGAACATCTCTGTACTTTAAGTGTTGGTTCTGATTGTCCTTTTCATTCTAGTTGAGATTGTCCTGATGCTTGGCATGATGTGAGTGATTTTTGATAGAAACCTAGACATTTTGGATATTATGTTATGAGACTGCATATTATTTAAATGCATTTTAACTTATTTCCTCTGATGCCTTTCCTTTGAGGTAAGGGGGGCTGTCTTCTCACCGCTAGGTAGGGGTGGAAGTCCAGGTTCCCCACCAGGTCTTTGCTGACATGGGTACAGGTAGGTCCCCAGTTTTTTCTGTGGTACCTGTCTGGAGTAAAGAGGTTATGTCTAGAAGTTTTTTGTCATTCTTGGCTGCCCCTTATCTGGTCCTCTGGCTACAGCAAGAAGGCTTTTATTTTTTTTTCTGTGATCGCTGCTGTTGACAATTTGCTGGCTTCTTCAGATATATGAGGCAAAAAACCCAAACCCAAATCCAAGTCCAAACCAAAAAAACCAGGAAGTGCAGTGGTGTTACTCTCAGATCCTGATGTACCTAGCCAATCTGCTTTGTTCTCTCTACCTTTCAGTCTTTCTTCCTATGTTTATTTTGTAGATAATGTCCTGAGGTTTTAGTTGTACTTAGCAGGAAGAACAGGCAAAAATACTGCTCCATCTTCCTGCCCATTGATTTTTAATAAAAATGGGTACTATTGTATAATTAAAAACCTAGTTAAACCTTATTTTCCTCCTTTACTTGATAAGGTACGATTGCTAATAATGCTCAGAACACTTATATACTACTTTGGCTATTTACCTGATAACCCTGCCTAATAGCCAGGTAGAACATCAAGCACTTCGGCTAAATGTGGCATATCTTGATGCCATGAAAGTCATCTTGCAAAAGGCACTAACACAGGTAGAAAGAAAGGAGAGTGGCCATTTTTGAAACCCGCCACAGTTCCTATAAGTGTGAATCTGTTCTGGCCTCTCTAACTTGTTCAGTTTGTCTGTCCTTTTTCTAATCCGATCTTACTTTTGCTTTACAGTGTCTGGTGCGGTAAGACACCAACCCCAGCTTAATCTTCCTCTTCAGAACTGTTCTGTCTATTCTTGACCTTTTGTGTATCTACATAAGTTTTAGAACAAACTTTTTAAATGCTACAAATCCTGCTGAGTTTTTGACTGGAATTGCATTGAATGTCATCAACATTTTAAGCTAGGCACAAATATGCTTCTTGATTTCCAAGGTTATCGGAGTTATCTAGATATCTTCTTGTTATTTATTTACAACTTAACAGCAGTGTCATAAGAAACTGTGGTTTATGTTAAAAGAATCCCTGGAACATTAAGAATTCTTTTACTGCCCAGAATCATTTCAATGTTTTTTAATGATTTGTATAGATATGAAAAGAAAGTAGATTCTGAAGTACACTTGTTAAAACCACAATGACCTTTGTAGTGGGTTGAATGGCGCCCCCTTAAAATTCAAGTCCACCCAGACCCTTCTTTGGAAACAGGGTCTTTGCAGATCAGATGTAATTAAGGTAAGGGTCTCAAGATGAATCATCTTGATTAGGATGGGCTTTAAATCCTATGACTTGTGTCCTGAGGAGAGAACACACAAAGGGACACAGAGAACAAGGCCGTGTGACGGTGAAGGTAGGAAGGCAGTGGAGTTGTGCTGCCATGAGCCAAGGACTCCCTAAGGCCACCAGCAACTGCAGGGGCAAGATTCCTCCCCAGGGCCTCCAAAGGGAGGTTGGTCCTACATACTTCCTGATTTCACATTTCTGGCCTCCAGAACTATGAGAGAATAAATTTCTGTTGTTTTAAGCCACCAAGTTGATGGCAATTTGTCATGGAAGCTGGGACACGAATACGAACTCTGTGTTGCTAAATTCCGGGGTCAGTTCTCAGAGCTCATCCTACTGTATCTATGAATACCATAAGCACTTGACTCAGCAATCACTCCTTCCTCCTTGATCTACTTCCTTCACTAGGCTTTCAAAACACCACACTCCCTGTATTCTCCTGGTCTCTTCTCAGCCTCTTTTGGTGATTCTTCCTCTTTTCCCTGACTTCTCAGAGCTCAGTCATAGGTTCTTGTCTCTTTTCTATCTACATCATGATTTGAGGAGGTTTCTAAATGCCTGCGTCATGAACAAAGCCTTATATGACTACATTCCCTAATTTTAAGTATTATGACTGCGAGGAACAAAAAGCGAAAAGAATTTTGGTCATTTGTACCGTTTCCTGTGAAGTTTACTAATGCAATGATTATTAAATCACTGGACCACTATATATGTACAGTATTAAGTTGCCTGATACTAAAAACTCCTCTCTTCCTCTTCCTCTTCCCTGGCTCACTTCCCCACTCCCCTACTGGTGCTCCCTGATATTATCTTTAAATAAATTACATGCTTTGGAACGCTATTCTCATGGTCTCCTTATGAGGGAATCCAAAGAACCGCATGTATAGACAATTTTTTGTACGGGGATTGATTTTCTTCCATAAGCACTGGTTTCACCATCATAAAATATCCCTTCACATATATATTACAGTTGCCTCCTGACGAATAGTTTTGATTTCAGGCTCTTCCCATTCCAACAGATCACACATACAGAAAGCTATTGACAGAAGCTTAAAAGAGAGGGAAAAAAACATCCATGGGAAAAAGTATGGCATCATCAGTTCCCCTGAAGAAAAATAATACTAAAATAACAAAATTCAGTTTTGAAAATACCTAAGTTGTTTTCGGAGTTGCTCGATTTCCACTGTTTGCTCAGTTACTGTTTTCAGAAAGTGTTGGTTAGTCTGCCACAAGAAAAAAAAAAACATTCGTTGTTAGAACATTTAAAACTACATCTCTAAAGATTATCTATAGGGCATTTAAGAAGAAAAAATAAAATGAAGACATGATAATGATTAGATTTTTTGAGGGTACAACGTAACCCTAGCCATCTGTCCTCTTGTTACTACTTCAGTGGACACCCACCTCACCCCAGTACGAGCACCTGCATTTCTGTGTCTTAAGCCTTCCCTGGCCACCTAGGCTCCTTTGCTCACCTGTCTGTGCAAAGGCTACAGGTGCTGTAGAGTTCACATCCCGTCTGCTCTGGAAGAGCCTGATAACAATGACTGAAGGGAACGTGTGTGTCAATACCCCAACCTCTCAAGTCCCCTGAGTGTTCTAGGTGGGAACTAGGAGGCTGGCACATTCTGAGCCGTGGGTTCTACAGTGGCTCCAGAGTTCATCAACGGGTTTAGTTTTCAGTTATCCACAGTGGTAATTTGCTTGACTGTTAAAAACCCTTCACTGTTTGCCTTCCCTTCCCTTCCCCTGTCCTCTACTGGTGCTCCCTGGTATTATATCCTAAATCAACAACATGCTTTGGACCCTTTCCTCATGGTCTGCTTGTGAAGGAAACTAAAGTAAGACATGAAGCAGTTTTCCAAGTGTACAAAATTTTTTCCTAAGGGAATTGCTTTTCTTCCATAAGTGCTGGTTTTACCATGATGGTGAAAATATCTTTCTCTATATGCTTTGTATGGAAAGTCACGTAGATTATAATTACCTCCTAACTCATGGTCTTGGTTTTAGTCTCTTCTCATCTCAGATCACACATATACCTCTCCAACCAAAGTCCTGGAGACAATTTTCATTGTGCTTCTCTCAGCCTCTATCCAATTTCATTGACTTCATATATTTTTTTTATTAGTTTCAGGTGTACAAAACACTATTTTTAATACACTGTTGTATTTCCCTCTGCCTGGGATGTCCTCATGCTACCAGCACGCATCCCTCCCACACTCTAAGGCAGAATTAATTGTTTCCTTTTTGCATTTTGATAAAACTTTATATGTATTATACTTAAACACTATATTTAAAGTTTATGTGTTCCTGGCTACAATATGAGTCTCTCTTTGAGAATCAGCTTCTTCCGGAACTCCCAGTGTCTGGCACATAATTTGGTACATTTCAGTACTTACACCTTTGAGGAATAAATGAATGAATGTCTTTATGAGATGAAAGAAAGCCTTCAGACTGCATCATTATCTTTATCTTGGGAAGTAGACTACTGCAGACTAGCACTTGAGTATTCAATTCACAGACCACCATTTAAGAGACAAACTATCACATGCGAAGAGAGGAGGATATCATAGTAAGTAGGTAAATTATACCACACCAGGAAAGTTAAAAAAGAAAAAAACCCCAATAAAAACTGGGTGTAATATTGGGCATGAATTAGGAAAGACATAATGGTTATATGCAAATAACTGAAGGGCTGACTTGAACAAGTGAGCTTGTTCTATATTACGCCAAAAGATAAGACTGTAAATCAGCGTAAGGAAATCTGATGAGCGATTTTTAGTTTTCCAATAATCCGAATTCAAAGAAAAAGGCTGTTAGGGGCAGTGATAATCTCTCTTACAGGGGATATTCAAAGCAGAGGCTAGATGATCACCTAACTGAAAAGCATTTAATAGAAGGATGTTTCTATCATTTGGGGCTATAGATGACCTTTAATATAATTTCAAATTCTCCTGTGAAGCTATCTCAGTGACTTCATCCCAAACTGATCCATGTCTCTGAATTCCTCTATAATGTCCACAAGGCATCGTTAATGTTTTATTATATATATACTGTCTTGGCACAAGTATAATTAACGCGTGTGTTTGTTACTATTTGGGAGCACCTTAAAGACAAATCATGGTGAATAATTAGTGGAAGTTTAAATTGGAATCATGTATTTTAGGGAGCTAGTGTTGGGAACTAACACACTTCACTTGGCAGCAGTGCTGGTGGGAGCTGAAAACAGCGTGTGAATACGGCCTTTTTGCTCTGTATTTGTGATGAGATACAAACTTGGAAGGTTCATAGAATCCGGAGATTCATAAAGGTCCAAGTAAGCATCCCCGCCAACCATCATCTATTTTAGCACCTTATCCACTGATACTCCACAGTCATTCCTGTTTTATCAGGTAGACCAGGGCTTCATGGATAGATGCACTTTCTCTTGCACAACGAGAGAACCTACAATAGTGCAAGGAACTTAGTATGCAATTAACAAATAGTTTTGAGTAATTTTATTGAAATGAGCAAATCTCAAAAAAGAATATGATTTCTGTAAAGAGAATCTCATGGAAATGTGAACTCTCATTGTATCTATATTTTTATTTATTTGTTTTTCTGACTAAACTTGTACTTTTATGTACCATACAGGTCAGGGCATTTTCCCTGCTACATATCACTAATGTGCACTGCTCATGAAAGACATTTTATTTACTTCTTTTATACTCACGGTTTATAGAGGAACCTATTCATTTAATGAGCTTATTCATGTAATCAAGAAAACATTTAAATGGAAACTGCTTGAGTTTTATGTTTTTATTATTTTATTTTTCAATTACAGTTGACATTCAATGTTATTTTTTATATTAGTTTCAGGTGTACAGCATAATGGTTAGAGATTTATGTAGTTTATGAAGTGATCCCCCTGACTAGTCAAGTCCCCACCTGGCACCGTACATAGTTATTACCATATTACTGACTATATTCCCTGTGCTGTACTTTACATCCCTGTGACTATTTTGTAACTGCTTGATATTTTAAAGGGCACTTTTCTTCAAGCTGATTGTAACTGAAACTTGCCCTGTGACTATGCTCAGAAGGCTCTTCGAGACCATTACCATCACTTAGCTACCTCCCTTTATGCTTAGCTGTCTTGTTTGGTACTCAATATGTACACTTTTAAGAAAAAACTCTTACACTGTCAAATTTCTCTTAACCATTTTACTTTATTTTAACCATAAGTATAGTCTTTTTATTTGTACTTACTAACACAAATCTCTTTTGTCCATCTTGTCATTCCTTCATCACTTTTATTGTATCCATAGTTTATTATTATTAGTTTTGGCTGAAACTATGAAGTCTGTACCTTAGAAAAATGTATTGCATTTCCTGTGAATGCTCAAATATTCTTTTCCCATGACCTTCACCACAATGATTTGGGTTGTTTACAATAAAATAGGAGTTCTACAGTGTAATATGCCAAAGGATTATATAATCCCCACAATCCTAGGGGTATACTGAAAGAAAGAAGGAATGATGATGATATTAAACTATTAATTTCATGTTGAAATAAGATTTCTTAATTGTAAAAATCAGTCATTTTGTGCTGGAGCACTTTAATACAATTTTAAAACTCTAAGGAGCATATGATAAAAAATTGTAAGTGCTTGGATATTTCAAATGTTAACATAAATAAAATAGGAAGAAACAGATTTAATAATGTTTTACATGGTTAAAGGAGAAATTTTAAAAAACAATAAAAATTGGGACAACTTACTTTTGATGACACAACTCCTCACTTAAACAAAGACACTTTCATTAGGTACTAACAAGAATTAGCAGAGTGACTAAGTAAAATAAAGAAAAGAACGAGAGTAATTACCTGGGATGTCATAATCCTACTACTCAACAACGAGGTAAAATAAAATTCCAAGAAGAAAAAGGAAAGGAAAGCAAAGGAGAAAGAAAAAAAGCTGAAAGAAATGAAAGAAAAGGGAAATGAGAGGAAAAAAAGGGAAAGAGCAGAATTGTAAGGGCCAATCATATTTGTTTTAGGAAAAAATCACAGGGAAATGTAGGTGTACCCGCTAGTCCTGGTGTTCAGTCAACTAATGAATGCTTCTTAGTGTCCTATTATTTTCAAGGACCTGGGCTGTTCACTGAGTTAACAGTTTCACTGCTCATCACATACCTAGCAGTGTGCCAGATAAAATACTAAGAAGACAGCATGAGTCCTACTCTTGAGGAGGTCACAGTCTAGATTACTCTCAAGAGATCCTATCAAGAACCCTAACAGTATTTTCAGATTAGGATATATTTCAGATGGATGTTAGCTTTCAATCTCCAGAAAGTACTGTGAACCACCCTGTGTTATCAAATGTGCAAGAAAAAGACAGATAAAGGGAAAAGACTACTGCTTACCTATTTTAATTTCATGCAGCAATTTTTGTTGTTGCTATTGATTTACATTAGCATAAATAAATATTTATGGTGACAATTTCTAGTTTATATAAACAAGTACACTAAATGGATATTTTCACTTACCGTTTCTATGTTCTCATTAGCAACGTGAAGTTGCTTAGTCAGTTGTTGAAAATTGGTCAGCTGATCCTACAGTAGAAAGGTAGGAGAGTACATAAATAGCATTTGGTTTGTAACTCCTATCTAAAATTAAAGTAAAAGCAAGTCTAAAATCATTAAGTCTAAGTTAGATGAAATGAGTTCTATTTCTTTTATTTTGTATGAATTAGTAGTTGAAGAAGTGAAAAAAATATTTAAATGATTACAAAATTAAATAAGATGGCAATATGGAAACTAACGTAGTTATTTTTGCTTTATGTGAAATCATCATCTGGAAATCAATCCATTAGTAAATAGACATGCTAGAGAAACCTTGTCTAGTATTGGAAAACCACATTCATACCTATTCAAAACCTACAATACAAATCATGATGGCATAGGAGTTATTGTCCTGCTCCTCATCTTTTAAAATTCTCACAGCTTGAATGTCCCACAAGGTTTAAATTGTTTGATTATCTGTTATGATCCTAACAAATGTTACATGGGTAGGGGACACATAGTTGGGAGGCGCAGTTAACGTATCAGGTTTCAGAATTAAAGATTGATAGATAACTGGAGAAATAAGGACAAAGTGTTACTTGCAAAGTCTTGTACAAAAAAACAAACAAACAAAAAAACGAACTGCAAAGCTACAACACAAAAATAATCTTATTCAGGTGGAAAAAAAACCCCAAAACCTAATGGCATAGTTGACTGACCTAAATGAGGAAGCAACCTTAAAGAACTTACTCATATTAGAAATAGTTTCCAGATTTCAGAAGTAAAGGTATTATATGGATCAGATCACTTGGGCTATTTTCAAACCAGGACATGTAGACAAAAATTACTTTGCAAACTGCAAAGCATCATGTATGTATTATTATTATGGTTTCTTTAGATAGAAATTCCCAATTATCCTGAAAATAATGTGATTGGTCACAAACTGAAACTTGAAACGTCGATAAGGGAAAGCTGAAGAGAAGCATGATAACCAACGTACTCATATTTAAACAGCTGCCTTCTCAAAAGCCACAGAAAAATAATCAGAATTGTGATTATTCCATAGTTTGCAATGTATCTAGCAGAAAAAGAACCAATAAAAGGATAAAGGAGGAAGATTCTCCAATGGAATGGATGGTCCTGTGAGATAGTGAGTTCTTGTCAACAGAAGTATAAAGCAAAACCAGATGCTCACTATGGAAGAATATGAAATGATTCTTGCTTTAGATAGAAAGACGTCCTTAACACCCAGTAAGATCCCTTCCTATTGTAAAATTTTATTCTAGTTAATTTTTGTTAGACAAACTTGACATCTATTTTAGTAAAAGGTTGCATTTAAAGGTGTTAACATTTTCATTTACGTAGTATTGTCATTATATTTGAGCAGGCTGCTTCACTGGCCATGATCTAGCGACAGCTTTGTCCTTTTTTAAGCCAGGTAGAAAATCGAGAATATAAAAGCTTTACACATAATAATATTATAGCTGCTTCTTAATACTAAGTACTAATACAGCTTTCACTGCTAATCACATGATAAAACCCAATAAATCCAATGTACACTAAGAATTACTTTAATTATCTTATCTGTCAAGCGATGTCTAACAATTAAAGACCAATTTATGGTTAACAGAAATAACACAGAGGAGATTTAGGCATTCCTCGTCAAAACTGAGTTTCTCCAGGGTAAGATTTATTTCTTATTGATATACAAGAAAATCATGAAACTCATGATTACCTTTTGTTTTTGACTTTCAGCTACGTGAATCTGGGCCTCAGTCATATATTCCTGGTAAAGTTTCTGAAGTCTGTCCAACTCTTGAGAGACAGTCTGCCAGAGTTCTACAGCCTGATTTTTTTCCTATGAAACAAAGACATTTGAGGACTCATTAAATTATTAGCAGGCTATTGCACAGTACAAATGAATCATATTATTTTACAAAATGCATTCTTATATATAATGTCACAAAATAAAAATAGAATTTGTGTCAAGATGGCATAACTGTAATATTTTCAATATGAAATTATATTAAAGATAATTTAGAGAATAAACCTAAAAATGAAAATTGCTTTCTTTGAAACTTTCTTTTTATTCACATTTCATAACTAAAATTAAAATCCTTAAATCAGAGATATAGATTTAAACCACTCTCCTCATTCCTCAACAAAGTGTAAGCCTTCAAAATACTAATAAAGAAAATCACCCCTAGTAAAGTACAAGATTTGTTCTGTGATTGCAAAAGTAATACGTTTATTTTAGAAAATCAGGAAAATACAGAAAAATAGAGGTGAAAATAAGAATTACCTACAATTCTACCAACTGATGGTAAATATCGCTAATATCTGAATATAGTCATCTTTATAAATGTTGGATACATTGATGTTTATAAATGTAATTTTGAGGGAGAATTTTGTATTTTTTTCCTTTAACAAAAATGGGAATCATATAGTGTACTGTTTGTATTATACTATTTTTTTATACTCAAAGTGTGGTATGGGGATCCTTGAAGTCAAAATTATGTTCATAACAACATGAATATGTCTTCTGCCTTTTTGATTCTCATCTTCTTATGAGTGTACAGTGGAGTTTCCAAAGTTTACATGTGATGTGTGATGCTGGCATTGCTCTGATGGCTACTGGAATGCATTCTTATGCTCCCATTTGTTTTTTAAAATGTCTGTTTTAATTTGTAACATAATAAATACTGATAGATATTTATTTGGGGTCCTCAATAATTTTTAAGCATCCTGAGTAGGGGTCCTGAAACCAACGAGGTTGAGAAACGCTAAGCTAGCACATAACATTATTCTCTTTTTAGAGAAGGAGAAATGAGGTTCAGGCCAATGGCCTGGGATGTCTCAGCAAGTTGATGGTAGAGTCCGTAAGAAACATTTGTGGGAAAATTTATTAGTGGCCAGTCTGCTTTTTCCTTTTTGACTGCTCAAATTTGGACCTCATCAAAACTTCTATGAAGTAACCGATCCAAACTGTAGCAAAAAAGTGGGACCATCTTCAGAGATATGAGACCAAGCTAGATGTAGATGGAAAGGAAAAGACAGGGGGTAGATCAGATGAGAAAAGGATAAGGAATGACACGATGGTTTTAAAATGTATTGTAAAAAACTATGGTTTAAAAAAGAATAAGCACTTTTCAAGTTTTAATACAATTTAGCACTGGAAATTATAGCAGCAAAAGTATATAGAGAGATGCTTTTCAGAGACAGGGTTATTTTTGTTTGTTTGTGTTTTTAAATTACTATATATTTGTTCTATACAAACATTATAAATCTTCCCTGATAATATTACTCTAGAACAGGGCAAAGAACTTGGTTTCCTTATTTTTTTCTTCTATTACTTTTCAAACTCCTTCTATTTCGAGCTTAAAAAAAAAATTGTGTTAAATAAACAATTCTAAAACCAAATTTCCAAGGGATAAAAAAAAAAAGACTTTTCATAGATAACTATAAAATCAGAATATGCAGAATTTTGAATTCCCATTTATAAATGAGAAAACTGATAGAAAGTAGAACGGTGATTCAAATCCATGCAACATATGAGATACCTAGACTATAAAACAGTAAGTTAGAATAAAATAACATCATGTATAATCACAAAAAATTACAGTGTTGAAAACAGGATATATACAGCATGGCTTCCAAATATTTCAAGAGGACAGAAGGAGGAAGGGTGTAATTTTAGAAGTATTATTTTAGAAAAATGTAATTCCATAATCTTTGAAAATTGAAATAAAACACAGAAAAATAAAAAATGTAAATTTAGGGAAGTGGATAACTGATGATTTTTCTCTTTAAAAATTTCCTTTGATGTTAAAATATTTTATAAGATTAAAAAATCATGTCAGAAAGCATTATGATTGAATTACAATTTGACCACTATATTAATAAAAAACGGGGTACTTATGACAAGTTTTGTTACCTGTTAACTATTTTTATAAATTGTAGAAAATCATGAAGCATTAACAATTTTGTTCTTCTGTTATTATAATTCATAAATAATGATTAACACAGATTTTGAAAACCTTTCTATTATTCAGAATATAATTTAAACAAATATATATGTATATGTCACTTACTTGATTGGCTAGTTTTAATTGTTCTTGAAGATTCCTGACTGTTTCATCATCTGTATATATATCATTTCCCAACTCTGTACTAAAGGGAAGGGCCTCCAGTTGCTTTTCAACACCATCTTTTAATTCACTGTGCAACCTTTGGAACAAACAGTTAACACAGTAATCATCTAAGTCCATTTTAGTAACAGTAATTAATGTTGCAGGATTAATTAAATAAACATTTGGGTCAAAAATCATTCTTTATATAAAAATAATTTTTAAGTAGGCTTCAAAAATTAGTAATTTTAAATCACCATTAAATACTGGGCTATAAGATTAAAAATATTATCTAACAATTTCTAATGCATTAAATTGACCATAATTAATTAAAATATAATTCAGTTTGTCCTAGGGAGATTTTAAATTTTCAAAAAGATAAAATCCAAATATTTTATATACGTCATTAACTGATAAAACAAGACATTCAGAAAAAATTTTTTAAATGTGATGGTTTCATCTAGTCCATTAAATAGAAATGGGATATTAAATCTTGTAGAAGTATTTATTTTCTTCATTGTTTCACAAACTCATTTGGCCTCTTACTAAACAGAAAAATAAAATTGTTGCTAGTTATGAAATCAAGACTATTAAAGGTTTTATTTTTCAGCACATAAGCTTGACTATAATTCTGAAAACCTTAAATTCAACTTATAAATTAACATTAAACTCAACAGATATTTCATGTGTCAAAACAATTTTTTTAAAAAGCACAGAAAGGTACAACTAAAAGACTGATTGTTTTATTTTAAAATGATACAAGTGAGAAAAAAAGTTTTATAACATCAGAAAAACTTGAAAAAAATCATATAATTATATTAAAAATATTGTTTACAATAAATACTAAAGCTAAAACAAAATAATATATTGTCACAAATACGTATACCTATAAAAAAACTTTGAAAAGCAAGAAAATGACAAATAACAAAACTTAAGACAGTGTTAACTTCTTGCAGAGGGAAAGAGGGATGGGGCAGGGAAGAAATACTTGGATAGATTCACTAGTATCGGCAATGTATTAGCTCTTAAGCTGGATGGTTGCTTGACAGGTTTTTGTTTTATCAGTATATTTCATAAAATACATATTATTCACTATACTATTACAATTGCTAACATTTATAAAGAGCTTATTATGTACCCTGTTTAAGCACTTTATCCTTTACAGTCAGCTCTCTGAAATAAGTTATGATCTTCAATTTATAGATGAGAAAACTACTACACAAAGAGGGTAAGTAACTTGTTCAAGGTCACACAGCTAGTAAGTAATGAAGCCAGGAGTCAAACAAGAAATCAGGCTCCAGAATCCACACTGATAACCAGTATACTCTATGAATAAAATATCAAATAACAATAAAATTTATCTGACAATAATAAAATAAATAGTTAACTGATCTACCTTTCATTTTCCTTGATGACATTTTCAAGTTGTAGTTTCATCTCACTCATTTGTTTCTAAAAGAATAAAATATGATTGTAGCCATACATTTTCTCTATTAAGTCGCCCATTCATATGCAAGCAATCATATGCTATCACACTAATCTATAGATAAGAAATAATTATTACTTCTAACAAGCAATATTAAATATGGTATTTTAATGATAAACAGAACATAAGAAAACATTCATTTTGAATAGAATATAAATAAAAGTATTTTATATAACACATTGGGAAATATTTATAAATGCAATTCCTATGAGTTATAGGTGTTTATAGAAAACAGATAAAAGATATTCCTTATTATGTCTTTATAACAAATATCAGATTATCCCTATACAATGAATGTATATTTTAATTAATTGACCTTAGTTTAGCACTTATATTTCAATGAGTAAAATGTTAATGGCAAAAAGAAAAAAAAAATTCCGTAGAGACCTTTTTTTAAAAAAAGGTTTTATTGGGGAATTGGGGGGAGGGGAACAGTGTCGGGGAATCGGGGAAGGGGAACAGACAAGTTGCTGTCCTTTTGTTCTTCAGTCTAGTTGTGGAGGACGTCACTTCAGTGGCCCATGTTGGTATTATGATCATTGTGCTATTCCCAGATGAGGCACATCAGTCGCCAGTCATTGGACGGCCGCTCACGGTGGCTGCCAGCCACTCACGGTAGCTTATGGCAGCCCACTGCAGCCCCATTGCAGCATTGCGGGCGACTCACGGCAGCCCAGCTCCAGGTCAAGCTGTTGTTCACCATCTTAGCTCTACAGGGTGCAGCGTCACTGGCCCATGTGGGATCAGAACTGGCGGCCCTGCTGCTCAGAGCTCACGCTCCCAAGCCAACTCTTAACCACCAAGCCACTCGGCCGGCCCATAGAGATCTTTTTTAGCAGTAATTTATTCAGTTTCTCATTCACCACTTTCACTAATTGTCTGAACCTGCTAAGCTATAGAAGGCTGCTATGGTAAACCAACGTGGTCACTAACATACTTTGGTAGGAAATAAAGTAAAAAAGAAAATCACTAAAATTCCAAGAAGAATAAAATATATACTGTAAAGGGAATGAGATGAAGGTATGATTAATTTTCTCTGAGAAGATAAAGGGCCTATAGGATTTCAACAGGAAAGGAAGGGCATTTCAAGTAGAAAGAAATATAAGTAATGGCAAAGAAGCAAAAAATACTAGATTAGACAAGCATGGTAGTCAGCTCTCAGTAAGAGTGAATGAGAAAGTGAAGAGCAGGAAGGAGGCCATGTAACATCATAGTTAAAACTGCAACAACTCATGATACGTCCATTAGTCTTGATTGGGGACCCTCGGCTAAAGGACAGGAGCCAAGCCTGGAGTGGCCCTGGCAAGGGAAGGGTGGAAAGGCAGTGCTCCAAGCCTTTCTCTCCCTTCCTTCCACTGAAGCTCAAGGCAGCTTGGCTAGGAAATCAGTTACAGCCAATTCTACCTACAGAGCTGGCTGCAAAGGTGAACCTTTCCCAGGTCCCTGCTGGGCCTGAATCACAATTAAACCAAAATAAATGAATTCACTACCGGATAATTGAGAGCTCACCATACACGGAGTAATGGCCAGGAAGATAAAATTGAAAAGACAGGTGGTGGGTCTTGAATGCCATGCTAACTAAGAGGTTTGGATTTTATTGTAGCAATTACCCCCATTTTGTCATTTTTTAAAAAATTAATCTTTAAAAGTTGCAAAGATGGCAGTGTATCTTGAAAAGTATTTATTACTCTTATGTAATTAGGTAGAATATATATTCATTAGTGAGGATTAAAGGTGGATCATTACAGTCACAGTAAAGATTTTTTAGTGTAAAATGTTTCAAAATATTTAGCAGTTGGAAGGAAATGAAATCTCAGCTGTATTTCTCGTATCATCAAATTTCCCCATTATTTACTTTTTCTGGAAGAAAATCTTTCATATAGAGATTCATAGTGATACTTTTCTTGCTTTCAAGATATACTATTTTTTTACTGAATCAATGAAGTAAATTATAAGAACTAGTCTAATCAATAATATCTATGTGAGCAACTATTCTTAGAAGTAGCTATTAGCATCGTTTTTTCTCTCTAAATGTAGCACCTATTTTTATCATAGACCCCTGGGCTTTCAGCTTCTCTCGTCATTAATTTAGTAATCACTCTTAGATGGAGAATGCCAAATGGAAAAATGAAGTTAAACCCTTTAGCAAAATAGCTGATTAAAGAGATAATATGAATAAGATAGATTATAAAGAAATTAAAAATTTAAAACATTTTAATTTCAAGATAACTAGCTATTCCATTTTATAACAATCAAAACTACATAATATGTCATTATAGCAATTCCAAAAGAATGAAATCAGCAGAAACTTTAAACTCACTAATCCTAAAAATAAAAGCAAAATGCCATTTATGCAAAAGAGAGCTATCTGTTGCTATTGACAGCTAGAAAGATTAAAAGACATTACTATGGTTGGCTCAAACTTAAATGACCACAGGCTAAAAATCATACAGTAAAGACTAGGAAAACACTTAACAGAAACTGCAATTTAACTAAATGCTTGTTTTTGAAATTTGAGTCTGATTATAAAGAATCACTTTATAAGTTTATATATTAGAGGATTAACTTTGGAAGTTAAAGTATAAATAATTTCAAATGCAGTGGAAGAACTTTATTTTTAGAAGATATAAGCATTATGTGTTCTTTTAGTAAAGCTACATATCAAATCATTAATTTATAAATAGATTGGAATGCTAGAGCTAATCATCTTGTCCAGTAAGCCCTGACACTTATTTATTCATCAAACACTGAGGGCCTACTATATGCTAGCCTTCAAAGTACACATAGAATCTCTTGCTGTCCATGCATGAAGAGACAAGAAAGTTAGAGAGTGTCTGCCATACCCACAGCCCCATTCTGAGGAAATCAGTTTCAATGGGCTGGGTTGTTTTCATATTACGTATTATACTTTCTTCCATTTGCACTAAGTCAACCCTGCTAACCTTGTCACAATTGAATTGATCCAGGGATTGGTATCTGAGCCACAATGAGTGTATTCAATCTCTAAAAAAGAGAGGTCATCACCACCTGGTGGGCTTAGTTTGAGATGCACATGGCATCTATTTAAGAAACCCTTCCATTGTATGGTTATCCAACAATCAGAAAGGTCAAAATTTGAGGGGAAATTGTAAAAAACATTTTCAAATAAAAGAATCACATTATAAATATTATATATACTCTAAATATGTAGCTTATTGAAATTCAGATTATATCCCAAACGATGTGCTATTATTCTATTGGGTTGTTGGAAAAGACATGACATATTTTGTCTATGTTTTCCAAAGGTCATTTATTTATATAAAAAACAAAGATCAATCAATGATATATTGCCTGTTTTGTTCAATAACCTTTTGCCATCTTTCAGTGAGTTTCATAATTCCTCGTTCATAGAAGGACCTGTCTTTATTTGCGAAAAACTGAACAAGGTGCTGATTTACAGCCTCATCTGAATTGAACATTATGCCACGCAAGGAGTTTTGAAGAGAGTGAAACAAGTGGAGTCTGACGGCGCAAGGCCAGGTGAGTATGGTGGATGTGGCAACACATCCCATCCAAGCTCCAATAATTTTTGACGGGTGATCAAACTTGTGTGTGGTCTCGCATTGTCACGATGGAACACAACTCCTTTACAATTAACAAGCTCTGGATGTTTCTGGATGATGGATTCGTTCAAACTGTCCAATTGCCAACAGTACACATTTGAAATGATTGTTTGGTTCTTTGGTAGGAGCTTGAAAAACATGACACCTTTAAAATCCCACCACACTGAGAGCATAGCCTTCCTCTGATGAATGTCTGCTTTCGATGTCGATTGAGGCGAATCATCATGTTGGGACCAAGGCGAATCATCATGTTGGGACCATTTGCACACCACCTTGTTGTAAACAATCCACTTCTCATCACCAGTTATCAGTCGCTTCAAAATAGGATCATTTTCCTCATGTTTAATGAGCATATTGCAGTACATGCCATCAAATGAACTTCTTTGAGTTTATGTGGAACCCAAATATCGAGCTTGCTTATGTATCCCAGCTTCTTCAGGTGGTCGTGAACACTTGAATGATGGATGTTCAATGTTTCTGCAATGTCTCCTGATGTGTAATGTGGGTTTGACTCAATCAATGCCTTTATTTTGTCGTTGTCAACCTTGGTGGGCCTCCCTGACTGAAGACCGTCATTGAGATCAAAATCACCAGCACGGGGCCGACCGAGTGGCTCAGTTGGTTAAGAGCTCGCTCAAGAGTTTGAGCTCTGAGAACAGTGGTTCGATGCCCAGCCCGAGCTGAGCTGCCGCTAAGCTGCCAATAGGTAGCAGGATGGCTCAGCTTAAAAAAAAAAATCACCAGCACGGAATTTCGTGAACCATTGTTGGCACTGACGTTCTTGTAGAGCACTGTCACCATAAACTTTATGCAACTTTTCACAAGTTTGACGCACATTTTTCCCTTTATGGAAGTTAAACAGTAAAATATGGCAAAAATGCACAGTTTGGTCTTCCATCTTCAACTTGTTGTAAAATCTCCAAAACTCAACCAAATCGTTCAATTTTTT